TGGCTAGCCCAACTAGTGATCCTCGAACATTATCAAAATCTACTATACAGCAAGCTTTCTACAATAAGACTATTATTATTAAGACATCGGGGAGAGAATCAGATGATAAGTTTCGAAAGAGTTATTTCTTCCCAAAGTCCAGACGAATGCAAGCAATTTGTGGGGGATTATGTCGCACATTGTTCGGTCCTCATAATCCCGGTTCTCGCCTTCAGCCCTGAGCCTTGGCAAAAAGCCTAGACCCTAGTGATCAGTCTAGGGTCTTGGTAGGTTGATATAGACTTGGCTCCCGATAGAAGAAATGAAAATGGCTTCAAATTTCGAGATGTTATGATTCCCGCGATATAGACGTAGAGGAGGAAGAACGCCACAAACAATCTTGATGTCTGTAAGTCTGAGGAGAAACACGTTCGGAAACGATTCCTCCCATCTCCTACGTTTCCCTTAGACGCGCCACCCGAGCTTAAGTTTAAGCTCAATAAATCAAAGACATAGAGACATAGAGATTGTCAAGAATATCATGGTAGTCTTCTCCATATAAAAGATTGAATGATATCAGGATCGTATCTTTGCGGCACAAGTTTCCAACAGAGCAATCTTAAACCCACCGTGGAGCTTCCAATTTCCAATCGCCACGCTTAAACCGTGTCAGCCTTAAGCGCGCCGACCCTCTTGGCATTTACACAGCCTACACAACTGGAGCCAACAGGGACAACAACAACAACCAACACGCCCAAGAACAGGGGGAGGTTGCGACCGTATAGTGCCTGGTTAATTACGGCTCTGCAAAAGCTTGTCTCGTAAAGAAAATTTCAAAATTTCAATTTTGTTTTCTTCTTCACGTCTGCCTTCGTTTTTCCTCACCCCCTTTCATTCGCTCTTTTATTATTCGGTTAGCATTTGCTTTTTATCATACTCATTCGTACCGAAGCCACAGTAGTACAGAAGGGCGGGCCATCTCCAATCGACGTCATGGCCACACACGACTACCCGTACAAGAAGGGCATAAACATCACTGCCTGGGTTCTGCAGTTCCTCGTCTGCATTATCCTTCTCGCTGCATCGGCATGGTTATTGTGGTTGGTGAATCAGGAGGATGTTCTCGACAGATATAGTGGGATTTTCACGTATGCGCTCCACGATCCAGAATGGCGAGGTAGATTTGGGTTGGGTTGGGTTGAGATAAGAACGAGCTAACATCACACTGTAAACATATAGCGCGGCTGCCGGCCTCCAGATCGCCATCGTCCTCGTGAACATTATCCTGAACATCATCGAGATTATCCTGATCGCGAAGAAGCGCATGCCAGTGGAGCTGTATCTATCAAGCGCGTGCCTCAAAACCGCCGTTTGGGGTATCATCTTTATCCTCGATATTGTCACCCTATCGATCATCTCCATCATATTGACTTTAGTCCTAACGTATGTACTACCACCTACCCCGACTCACCTACGTCACACTATAGAAGCGAAGGAGCTGGCACCTTGCTATGTTAGGTAGCCATAAAGCACGCACATAGCTAATATCCAAGCAGTGCGACGTCCCTGCTCCAGCTCATCCACGGAGCAATGCTCGTCCATCGCAAACGAACGGGCACATTGCGGGCCGGTAACTACGCACCGACCGCAAACCCTGGTTTAGTGGAAGCCCAGTACGGCGCGCCGCAGGCCGGATACTACACTCCTGGCGTCAGCACCGAGTACAAGTCCCCCGCGCCGGTCTCCTCGCCGGTGCCGCCTCAGTACGGATACCCCGTTCCTGCCTATGCGCCGCAGGCTACCGGAGGCTCGTATGAGCTAGAGAGCCGACCCCAGCACGCTTAAGATAGGAGGGGTTCTGTAACATTATGGACTGCATCGTCTGATTGATTGATTGATTGATTGATTGATTGATTGATTGATTGATTGCATTGCACGAAGAAGGCATGGTGTTTGTTTCCGACTCCGCGCGCTTGTTGACTTGAGTGGGATTGGGTACGACCGGGTTTGGGCGCTGTCGGGCGGTACAATGGCGGGTGCGAAAGGATACCTGCATATACGGATTTCTTGCAGGGACATTACATAATAGCGGTTATGAGGATTATCGATAGAGCATCAATGAAATGAGATGGGGGCTCACCTAAGCCCGAATAACTGAATCTTGTATCGATTGACTATGAGTCCAGCAATTTTGACACTTATGAGAACAATCGTCTACCTGAGATCCGTTGGTAAGATTGTTATCATTAGACACATAGGTTCTATGATTGCCTCTTATGGGAGCTACTTGAATTATATACAGGTTGATACTTCCAATTGACGCGCAACGTCGTACCATTAATATCCATGGATGTCCACCGAGCTTAGCCGACCTCGGAATTCGGCAAGTTCCATTTGCTCCCAATGGTAGGTACGGGGCGTTTAGCCATTACGAAACCATTCGAAGACTAAGGGAGAATTACACATTTCTACCAGGTTCTCTAGCAGATTGAGATGCCCTGGGCTAGCTGAACTGCCTACGTCACCCCTCTATAGCACTACCGAAGAACCTGGAAAGATCAACAAGGAGACCCATATCATATCCATTCCCCTTCAATCTATCGTAGTATCATTTTGTCGGTATGACTTGTGATATGAGAGTGGAAATGGTGGGGAACAACTGCAGTTTTCAACTCGTATCTACCGAGAAGCAAGACACGCGCATACATGTAGGGGAGAGGGCATGGCCACAATGCTAGTAGTTAGGTACATGTCCATATCTTCCAATTGAGCTGTTACCTTATACAACAGCGCCAATTGCGGGTTGTCGTATCTTTGGTAAGCATTCTAGATTTGTCTTAGGTACATGTATAATAAAGAACGCGCTTAGAGCTCTCTTATCGGTTATTCCTGTACGAGCAATGCAGATGAGATATATATAATCAGACTAACCAAATTGACATGTCATTATTTTTCAGCTTAATTGAAACCTAGGGACGATGACTTATAGGCACAGCGGTAGTCATTGCTCCCCAGGGGCATCGTGGGGAAATGATTGGCTCTGTACGAGCTGCAAGCCCATCCCCAATTAGAGGTATCATGCAAATGAGCGGATGAGGACTTTCAAGGGCGCCACATCCAATGGATAGAGCAACGCAAGTGCTGACGACAAAACCGGACGACAACCACGTACTCTAAGGTAAGTCAGGTAAGTATGTACCTACATACAGTCGTAGTATTTCCCCTAGGGATCTTCAAAGTTCATTCAATGGGACCCGGCAAACAAATATCTTCGAACTTCGTGGCTTCCCAGGCTTGCAGATTGGTTCTGGCGCCGCGCTGTTTCCAATCAAGACAAGGGTCCCATGATCCCATACAAGTCACCTAGAAACCTGTTAAAGTTCTGGGGTCTAGCCCCTGTTTGATACGTGACTGTACACCCAAACAAAAGCCTGAAAAGCCTATAAACTGGAGGTAGGATCATTGGATCAGTCTGCTGCCCATTGCCGTTATATCCGCCAACTGATAAAGGGCGGCCTCCCATCTCTCTCCAACATACAAAAAGACATCCTCACCGCTCTTGTCAGCACTCCTGTCTCTCTCGCCATAGTCGTACATTTTAGTCTGTTTGCCATCTGTCATTCTCTACTTACCTCGCACGCTTTCAAATCGATCCTTTCGACAAGACTACCATCAAGATGCCTTCTCCCGAAGAACCCCAGCAGCAAGCTCCCATGGAGATGACCTCCACCACTGGCGTCGTTACGCAACAACCTGTAAGTCATTCTTCTTCTACCCCTCGCGCCACTGAGTTGTAGTAAGTCATACCGAGGAGGTCCCAATTAACACTCTCGTTTCACGACTAGGCCACCGAGCCCCAACCCCAATTCGGTAACCTGCGTGGTGGTGAGGAGGCCGGCTGTGAGATCTGCTGCGGTCTCTGTGCTTGCGACGAAGGCTGCTGCTAAACGCCCGACCATTGACCTCCGTGCCGCATGAAATATTCACGCAGTACTGTGAAACAAGCGCCACATCACACCCATATAGCAATCAAACCATCGACCCCGCCTAGGACCATTATGGCGGCGTGAGCGTACACCAATGTGTCAGCCCGGAAAACTCTGGGGGGATATTGCGGCATTCGGGGATCAAATGAAATAAATACTGCCTGGTAGCAAGCGAGCAAGTCCTGTCTTATGGTAGTGAGAATTGCTTTTATCAATACAAACATCTCAACGAACTTTCATGGCCGTTATCACCTTGTGCTGGGCTAAAGTGAGATATGAACTTCTGCTTTTCTTATTCATCATAGTTCTTGGCGTCGCGAGCCTGAAGGTGGTGCTGAGTGATGGAATCTTGACCAAATTCGCCGTGTTACAGCAGCTCCAAGCGCCAGCGCACACCGCGAGACGTCTTCCCGGGCCAGGAAAGATGCTATTAACGACAACCACAACAACGAGAGTAAGATGAAGTCTAGCATCCGTTCTATTTCGGGTCCAACTTGTCGAAATAAGCATTTGCCTCATGTCTTGGCGATCTCTTGGCAGCGCATGTTCCCCAAGTTGCTGCCAGACGGGACCCTAATTTCGCCCTCGTCATTTGATGTTAATCATCAATTCTAGCCAAGAAGCCAAGGTTTTTGCTGATCCTCTTGGAGTATGTGTATGTATTATGTGATTTGCGACTAGGTACAATTGACACGGTTCATTCGTCCGATGTTGCACCATTTCTCCCTGCGACTACTTCATTTGAGACATGCTACATGACGATACTACGTTCCTGATTCTATCCTAATTCATTTCATCTCTAATTGAACGACAGAGTCTGTGTTCTTGCGCTATTGTTTTTAGACTTCGTGCTCCCTAGTGCTGCCTAATGCACTAGAACGGGGCATGTAAATAAAGAATAAAATGCAATTACTCATATTTTTCTTGGCGATAAAATTTGATTCGGTTAAAATGTCTCCGCATATGCCACTCGATATGAGAGGTACTACTTAAATCAATATTCCGAACCTTGAGAATCACCAATCACCAATCACAGGTTTCCTGGTGTAATGGCTAGCACTGCGGATTCTGACTCTTAGATCGAAAGATCCCTGATTCTAACATTCCGCCAATCTGGGTTCGATTCCCAGGGAGACCTTCATCTATTGATACAACAACGTTTTAATTCATTTTTTAATCTCTTTGCATTGATTTGAATCCTTTTTGAAGCAAGTGAATACAGACAGGTAGGTCTTTTTTTTTCCCTTCCCAAGATAAGAAGAAGATACTCAAAATCACCTACAACTTTGGGTAATCGAAAATCAAAATAGCTTCGAAACTCTAGACTCACTCTCTCGGAATCATTTTAGATGCCGTCACCACAACTAAATCTCATGGAAGCAGGAGCCAAGTCTTGCTACTATCCTGATGTATTTATTTGGAGTTGCATTATCTCAGATGACCATAGTATACACATATGGATGTCCCATACAGGAATAATACAATCCGTCCAGCAGTTCTAAGCAAGTCAGAAAGCCACATGTATCATCCATCATCCTTTAAAATCCTCATAAGCTTTATGGTTAGAGGCTGCCTGTAGCACAGGTACATATCTTAGATATATGTAGTAAGTAGAGTGAAGAAGCGCATGTCATCGCTTCCCATCATCACTGCGAAAAGTCCCACTAAGTTTATCCCATAACGTCTCCTCGCCTCTCTCCTTCCGCTCTTGTCTCTCTTGTTCCTGTTTCTTCCACAGATCCTGCACCACCGTCGCGACCTCGGACTTCGCGCGCAGCTCTGCCCTGTAGGCTTCTTCTTCCGCGGCGCGGTCTTCCTCGGCGACCTTTTCTAACCGCTTCTTCAGTATCGACCGCTGTTCTTGCGTCAATTCGTCGACCTCCTCCTGCTGCGGCTGTTTCTGCTGCTGCTGCTGCTGACCCGCTGCGACGGACACCCGCGGTATTAATGGCGGGAACTGCGGTATTGGGCGACCTTCCTTCTTCGCGGCCGCGATCTCGGCTTCTTGAGAGAGCATGCGGTGGTACAGGGTGTCGGCGTGCAATTGGATGTCTTCTTCGACTTCGGGGGAGCGGTCGTACGTCGATAGGTAGCCTAGGGCCTTTAATAATCTCTACATAGCAGCAAAATTAACGTATAGTCAGTATAGCCTCCCCAAGTTGTAGCAAAGTAGCAAATGCAGAAAGTAAGTAAGTATGATGATGGGTTGGATATCGCGGAGTAAGTGCACCCACAGTCTGCATCAAATAACACCTCTCAAACTTCCTAATCTGGTCGCGACACAGCGTCATGCGCTCCGAAAACGACGGGTTCGACATGCACTGCCGCCAGTCCAGCTGCTCCAGCGCACAGTTCTCCAGCGCCGCCTTGCCGATCTGGTTCTTGCGCTCCTTGTACGCCTCCAGCACGTCCATCAGCTTCTCGTGGTCGCTCTTGGTCGCGGCCTCGATCTCGGCTAACGGCTTGTACGTCTTCCATAGGTGCGCGTAGCGTCCGTCTTGGAATTGGCTCTCCCTGGGCACGACGGGTCTATCCGCTTGCGTCTCTTCGGCTTGCGGTTTTGCTGCGGTCGCTTGCTTCTCTTCGGTTGGGGTGGGCTGTTGCTGCTGTTGCTGCTGTTGCTGTTGCTGCTGCGCGGCGCTGTACTTCACGGGCGACTCCCGCTCGAGGAATTCGCGGAGCTTGGGGTCGAGTTTGCGCAGCGGGTCCTCGCCGCTCGAGTTCGACGCCCAGAGACTATCCCACCAGCCCATGACGGATCGCGCGAAGTCTAGGAGAAGGAGGTAATGGTCAGTTGGCTCCGTAGAGCTCTCTCTGGTAGCATTGAGGGACCTTGAAGGTGCGTAATGCCAAAAAGTTCGTTATCGTTATCGGAGATTGATATGCATTTAAGCATAATTGTTTAGTTATCGTAACTTTAGTTCCGCGTTATCACGATGACCAACTACGAGTACAACACTGTCTCTAGGAAGCTTGTGACCGTTGATAAAATCTTCATGCAACTAGGTAGCTTAGAATATGGCCGATTATTCCTAGTATTAACATATTAGTTGATGAAGAAGTTGTTTACCAGCATATTCAATATATATATATATATATTTCTGTTAAAGAGTGTGGTATCCTCCTCGCCCTAGCACTTGACCAGGCTTTGTCAAATAGTTAATGGGAGAATAGCAATCGCTAACTATCTAGCCTTATATTCAATTAAAATCCTATACTAAATGGCCGCCCAATTAGTTTCGTAATATCGTGTAGTTAACAAATACGTTACAATATTACTGGACTAAATAATCAGCAAGCCAGCTATGGAAGTTATATCAAATTATCAACTTGGTCAAAGTCAAAAATGTTATTATCCTTCAATGAATTCAAGGTCTGTACATTCGTAGTAGCCCGTCTCTACTCTCATCACGATGTGAATGAGACTTTGCAAATTTCTCGTAAACATAAATCTATAAAGCCTCTCGGTCAACTACATGAAGCACCATTACATCCTCCGTACCAGGGGCAGGAAGATCAACTTCTTTTTCTTATTTTGCACTTACATGTGTACTTCGAAAATACAGGGATAGAAAATATACAGATCCTAGAATGCCCGGGTGGTGTGGAAGAAAACAAGTGATCTGTACATTTCGAAATCCTTTATCGTAGCCATGTCCAATTTGAAGGTATTTACAACAACTAGGAGCCCATTCTACTACTTGGAGATCCTCAAAAGATCTATATTTTCTTCCCTATCTCTATAATGAACACCGCAAGGCATGTGGTTGAAGGCTAGACTTATAGTAAATGAAGATATTGACGCTGAACTAACTTTATTGCCTTTTTCTTAGTCTATTTACATTGTGAGCCATGATACTACATGGATACAAGGGCCTATTTTCCGTAACGACACGAGGACTAGGATGGACTATAACGTTACGAAGTGGTTGTTTACTATCTGCTTCGCAGGAGTTGAGGCTTTATGGTGAGCCCTGCCTAAAATGTCACGATATTGGCCACCACTGGAGTACACATAGTGTCAAGAAGTTGTTGCCATGCTAGAATAGATGAAAATGACACCATTGCCCACCACGGCGGCACTCCTCCACCTCGGCATCCTTGTCTTGACGGGGACGTCGTTGAGATTAACATAAAGCAAACTATGATTCTTCTAACTATTATTCTATAAACTATCAAGGCGACCCCTTTCTCTGCGTGTAGGATATTTTCTAGGGCTTAAAAATCAACCCTACTTAAATGACTGTACTATCTTCCAGGGAGACGAGCTAGTGTGTTCTACGAAGGGCCGTACGAGATCTAAGGTCGCCGTTTTATATATAAGACTACAGTTTATGAGAAGATACATCGTAGGTTGGGAAATTCGACCAAGATTGCCTGTAGCGTGTTACTGCAGTGTTGAGGAATGCATCATGAGACTTTAACTTTGGAGGTATCCCATCGCCATGTTACCACTCAGCTGGAAGCTACCTTACAGCCAGCGATCCCGAACGGAGATATACGAGTAAATCCACAAGAAGCAAGAACTAGACAAATCCACAAGATACATCGTGTTTTCTACTCCTTATGATGCGTTCGGCTACAGCGTGGGTGAGTGCTGCCATGTCTTCAATAGATAAAGTTCGCTTTTGTCATTTAGGAGGTAGGCATGGTTTATAATCATGAGACTAATCACTGCTTCCTCGTTGTTTGTGTGGTTTCTCAGCTGACTGTCTAAGATATAATGTTTTCGCTGCAATCGTACGGTAATATAGTATGTTCCCTAGGTGATCAGAAGGTGATTGCCGTACTGTGAATACCACAACGTATGACTGCTCGGAATTCGGAATCAGTATGGGAAGTGAAGTTCAAATCGATACTGAGCCAACTATTGGTAGGCTAGCATCATAACTTTCGCTTGAAGGAGTCATTCTCCAGGCTCTACGGACGAGTCACAGGCCAAATAGACACTAGGAAATTGGGGTCGGCAGACGCTTAAGGGATCATAGCGGGATGCTTGGATTTCAAACGGATTCAAGATGAATCATTCGTATGTGCCCCAAACTAACAAATTCGGATGGTCTACCAAATTCACGCCCTTCACCTCAAAGCTTGCTGGCCGCAAGCACGCGCTGTCAAACCAGTTACACCATTCCGGAACGCGTATAAAATTTGGTATATCCTTTTTATTTCTCAGAACTGCCCATGCTGCATCTATGTGCCCTGGCAGAAAGCCTATGAATCACCCGTTCCGAATCTGAGATCATGAAGAACCATGAAGTAACAACGCCGTCGATGCCCAGGAAAGATCTCCAATTTAGAACTTGCTGAACTTCTTCACCGCCTTGCCGGTTCGGGGAAGTACACGAAGGACGTTGAATCGGACCTATTGCGTTGTATAAGTCAGTAATGGGTCCGAGTTGATAATTGTTTCGTCTACGGCATAGTATGTCAATAACTCAAGAGGAAATGTAAGGAATAACGTACAGTCTTGCTTAGAGGTCTGCACTGGCCAACCGTAACCTGATCACCCTCCTCAACACGGAAAGCCGGCGAGACGTGCGCGGCCAAGTTCTTGTGTCGCTTCTCGTAACGGGCGTACTTGGGAATGAACTTGAGGTACTCGCGTCGGATGATGACGGTTCGGTGCATCTTGGTGGAGACGACGGTACCGGTCAGGATACGGCCACGGATGGAGACGAGACCGGTGAAAGGGCACTTCTTGTCTGTGTTGGCACGAGAATTAGCTTCGTGCTCCCTCATCGCTTGTAGATATCTGTCGTCCTGGCTCGCAAGCTTCGTATGACTCAAAGCAACCATCATGCTGATCTCATAGTCCATCCTACGACACAAAACACCCTGAATCTTTTTTCCAACTAATATTCGCGTATTCACATACCGATGTAGCTTCCCTCAATGGCGGTCTTGGGGGTTCGGAAGCCCAGACCAACATCCTTGTACCATCTGCGGCCACCCTGAAGAGTAAAACATAGTCAGCAAAAGGTGCCGTCAATCAAAAGGGAAGATAATGGCGTCGCCTCACCTTGCCAGGTCGCGTGGACTTGGCCTTGACCTTGGAGTTCTGGAAGATATGGGGCTGCTTTTGGAAAGCACGCTCCGACTGAACAGTCAATTCCGTCGCCATGTTTGCGATGTTTT